GGCGTCTGAGTGTGTCCTGTGAGGAGACGCATGTGGACAACTGTGTGCTTCTGTATAGGCAGTGTGTGCCTGAGGCGAGTATGTCTAGTGCAGCTTGGCTTTGTCTACTGTGTGGGCATGTGTGTATCTGCCAGCCAGCCAGGCGATGTTTTGCAGTAGGCAGGCTCCAAGGCTAATGAAACCGAGGCTCAGTTCAGTGATAGGAAGAGCTGGCTTCCCTGACGTAAGGCAGCGGGACCCCAAGCACATCAAGTCCTCCCCTCCAGGATAGGGGTAGGTGACCAGACAGAAGACCCAGTGACGATCCTGACCTTGCCCTACCCCTCACTGGAGTGAGAACCCCAGCCACCTCCCTCACTACACTGAGGAAGCTTCAAACACCCCCACACGAACTGTGGCTAATATCCAGAAAAGTAGGAATGGGGGCTGATCAAGGGAGATTCTGGAGGGAGATCATTCTTGCCAGCCTGTTCCAACACCCCCTAGATTCCAGTCCACACATTCATACCCCATATACACATATACATGCATGTGTGTGTGCCACACAGACCTCTGCTCACCGGGGCTCCTCTAGTCACACACACAACTACTTCCTTCCTCCCTCCTTCTTTCTGTCTCTTTCATCTTTCTTTTTCTGTTTGTTTTGGGTGCTGGGGTTTCTACCAGGGCTTCACACACACTAAGAATACTACCACAGAGCTACAGCACCAGATTCACAGGACTTTACTGCAACAGGGGCTCAAAGAAGCAAGGTTGGCCCCACAGGGGGCACTGCTAACTTTAGAGACTTCTTGCCTAACCTGACATTCCTCAAAGACAATGTCCAGGTGAGCCTAGCCCTGAATCAGGAGGCTGAGGAGACGGAGGGAGAACCAGAAGACCTCTCAGTCCTTCTGGGAGACTCCATTCTATTTCTAACCCACCATTCAACCCACCATGGGGCACAGGTGAGTCTGTTGCCTTGTGACATAGGGGTAATTTGAGGAACCATGGAAAATCTGATGTCTCCATCCTAACCCCTGGTTTACATACTACTTTCCCTCCAACTGACCAAAAACAGTGTCATCAGTCCTTCGCCCACAGAGGACTGGCTGGTTCCAGTCCTCTGAGCTCCAAGGCCAAAGCCACAACCAGGTATCAGGCAGGAAGTCCTTTATATACAAAAAGCAAAGGGCACCTCCCTGGACACTCTGTTTCACAGCCAGAATGTACCAGGATCCAGCCAGTCCCACTGGAAGCCAGCAAGTCTTGAAGAGGAAGGGCGCCCTGGCACATTGCCCATCTGCCTGAGATGACCTATCCTACCTGGGCCTCCCAGCTCCACTCATCCTGGCTCCCGCTGTGCTGCGGCTGCTCACTAACCACCAGAAGTAAGTAGGCCCAACGCCCTTGCCTGGGCCAATTCCCAGCAGACCTGTAGGAACAGGAGAAAACAGCTGAGCTGGGAAGCACAGCCAAGCAGGCCCCAGCACCAGCCAGCCTCCAGACAGCCAACACAGGGCCCAGCACCAGCCTGCCTCCATTCAGCCAGCACAGGCCAGCTCAACTCTGCTGGGCGAAAGGAGGTCATGTTCCCTGGACTTGACTTTTTCTTCCAATAATGGCTGTTAGGCGCAAATTCTCTTGGGAACCAGCTATGTGTCCCTTCAATGTTAGGGTCTAGAACACTGTGTCCTTGCCCTTAGAATAACATTTCTGGCGTGGTAAGGAGACCATGGAACATGGTGGAGGGTGAAGAATACTTGGTCCTACCCTCTTGTCAAGGAGAAGGCCCTAAAGCTTACGAAGTTGCAGAATGCAATCAAGCGCCAACCTCAGACAATCCCTTTGATCTTTTAAATAGATATATGGGGGAGGGTGTCTCATGTAACCCAGGCTGGCTTCAAACTCACTATGTAAACTGGGTGAGCCTTTTTTTTTTTTGAGAGTGGGTACTGCCTCTTGGGCAGTGTCACTAGGCCCAGCTCAAAGCCTCTTTTTTACGTGGAGGAAAATTTTATTGCTCTACTGCCAAGGTGGCCCTGAGGCTTCAAGCATGTCCTGCCAGCTCCTGTGCTAGAGTCACAGTGAAGTAAGGGATGGCCAGGTTATAGTGGGACATACCTGTAAGCCTAGCTGCTCAGAATCCCGAGGGATAAAAATCGAAAGTTCAAGGCTAGCCTGAGCAACCTAATGAGACTCTGGAGAGAGAGAGAGAGAGAGTTTAAGATGTAGTTTAGTGGTGCTTCCAAGTAAGGCCTTGGGTTCGATCTTTAGCACCATAAAAAAAAGTCAGAGAGATGAGAGAGTAAAAGATGATAGTGACCCATCTTGGTCCGTGTTTTTTAGTTTCAGGTGATTCTCACATTACTGTTGCACCATTATACAGCTGAAAAAACTGAGGCTCAGAGATATTCTGAACTGGAGGAATGGCAAAAGCAGCATAGTGCGCTGGCCTAGGTTTCCTGGCATCTCCACTCCAAGTTAGGTCTCCTCAAAAGGTCCCGCTCCCCCAGCTGGAGACCCCATCACTACTTCCTGGAGGCAGCAGCAGCCTCAGGCTTTATCTTTCCATCAGTTCTTCAAATTATTTCTAGTTTAAATTTAAACTTCAATCAGCTGTGCCAGATAAACGGTGTCAGAGCCCGGCAGTAGTCACAGTTCTGAGTCACCCCCACACCCCCCTATCATAGCTACAGAGACTGGGGGCTGGTTGGGTGGGGCTGAGCAGGGCTGGATCCTGACACTCTATGAAGACGCCCTCCTTCTTGCAAGCAGCCTAGTCAGGGGGACAGAAGAGGCAACCTACACACCGCATGTGGGAAATATGGTTGGAAACTCTCTGGGTTTTGATTCATCCCCGATTCCAGAATGGGACACATAGCCAGGGCCAGGCCCCACAGGAGCCTTCATGTGTGCACCACTCTCAGTGTGGCCACGACTGCTGACGAGCCACCCATCTCTGAGTCCTCACTTTCCCCATCCCACAAAGGAAACTCCGCATGGTGAGCCTGGGCTTGGGACTCCTGGTCTTAAAGGGCATGGTAAGTATTTGACACCATTGCTTTTGGGCCAGAACCTGAGTCTCAGTCATAGCACTATAACCCCAGGACTTGTCCCCAGCTTTCTCCTTCTCTCCAGGAGCCAGGGCTGGGCTTGTGCATGCCAAGCACACACCCAGTGCCTCCTGCTCTCCCATAAACTCATTGGCAGCTGGGCACTCGCCTTCCCTCCTCCTTACCTCCTATCGCACCCCTCCTGTTGCTATTACCCACACTCAGCCTCTCTGTTACCCACAAGCCCCATCACTCCTCAATACACACCCTCAGTTTCATACAGTCAGACTGTGAGTCTCCTACCAGTCACCTTCTTCCACCAGAGTTCCATACTGCAGTGTCACCTTCCACAGTCCTCATATCCCCGAGCCTTTACAATATCATACAAAGATATTGTCACAGAGAAATGAAACACACACACACACACACACACACACACACACACACGAACACCAGCTGCCCTCTGCTGGCCTGTTCACCACACCCCAGCCTAATCCATAGCAGGAACGAGGAAACCCAGTCCCCTCCCTCTGTACCTGATCAGTTTGGTCACAGAAGATCAGCAGCAGAGGAAGAAGAACGGAATATGATTAGATGCACCCTTACACACTCACACATGAGCCTCGAGGCACTATTGGCACACCAATAGTGTTAAAGGAATGAATGTACTCATGGCCAGATGGTCATCATGATATAATGCACAAACTTCTGGGACACACAGGGATGAGGACACATGCGCAAGTCAAGGCACAGAATGTGGAGGGGAAGCCCGTGAGAAGACATGCTGTATGAAGTTGCACGGGACACACATCGAGCCTCAGAACACACAGACCGCCATATAAGTACAAGCAAGTCACACGTGAAAAAGCACACATTCACAGGGGAAGTCCCACTATGACAAACAATACACACCATACCCACAGGCTCAGACACAGATACTACAGCAACAGAAGCCAGACTCCTCCGAGGGCCCAGGGTAGAGGCCAAAGGAGAAAGGAATCCCACACACACACTTATTCTAACCCCCCAGGCTTGAGTAGGGTGCTTAATGCGGCTCCCTTCTCTCCCCTCCCCGGTATCGAGGGAGTTGGGGAAGTGGGAGCAGTTGTGATGGGCCTCTCTCTCCACTGTCAGCCAGCAGGGCAGGGCACTCCCGTCACTGCTGTCCTCATCACCTTACTGGGCCCCCAGAGGGGGTGGCGTCTCTCCAGTGGGACAGAGACTGACAGCACCAGGCAGAGGCTACCCCGAGAAGGGGTTCAGAGGATCAGAGAGGACAGGGGAATGGTGGAGGCTGGAGCCACGCCCAGCCCAGAGACAGATGGAAAGCCAAGAAAGACACCGAGACTGAAAGAAGAGATAGGGCGAGGAGGCGGCGGCGCGAGAGTCCGCCCGCCTGGGACCCAAGCACTGGAGGCTAGGGAGACCGGCGGCCCGGCCTCCGCCCGCTGGTGAAAAGTACCGCAGACTGGACTGGCAGGGGCGGGCGAGCGTGGGCCGGGGGTGCGGCTCCGGGAGGACTGGGTCGAGGGGACGGCGGGTCTGGTGGGGGTGGGGAGACGGAGTACACGGACGGCGAGGGGCCAACAGACCTGGCCTGGGAGCAGAGGACCAGGCAAGAGGGGGTGGGGACCGACGAACGTGCAGAGGCCCCAGGGAGATTCGAGAAGATCAGACGGACCCTCGGCGGGGCTGAAGACACACAGAGGGGTAAAGATGCTAGGAGTAGTCGGGCCTGGGCTCCAGCCGTCGAAGAGACGGTCAGACCTACCAGGGTATCGAGGCACCGGCGGGTCTCCGTGCTCGGCGGGACTTTGGCTGCTCGAGGCTCAGTTTCTCAGTTTCAGAACCGGGAGCCGGAGAAGGAAGGGGGGAAAGGAGGCTACCGGCGAGAGAAAGGAGGGGAAAGGCCGCTGCGCCCTGGAGTTAACTCGGACCCCGCGCCCGGGCCCAGCTCTCACTCACCTCTCGACGCAGGGCCAGGCGCCAGGGGTCCCGGCGGGCCGGGGTCTGTCTCGTGGCGCGGTTCTCCCGGGTGCGCGTGGACGGGGAGGTCGGCACGAGTCTGATCAGGACGAGCCCGGAGGCCAGTGGGGACCGCTCGGGTCCCGGCACGAAGGGTAGAGGTCCAGGGGCCGCTCGCGGGATCCCCGCGGCCGCCGCCTCCTGCTCTGGCGCCGCGGCACACGGAAGTGCAAGGGGGCGGGGCTGCGCGACCTCACCCAGGTGCCGGCCCCGGTCCCGCCCCCACTCAGGACCCGCCCCACGGGCGCCCGCCCCTTCGAAGCTCCGCCCACGAGGGCTGGGGGGGTCCGGCGCGTCTCGGCCTTGTTCAGCTGCAGGTCCTTCGGTCCCCAGATCTCTTGGCCGTCTTTTGGCGCCTCGCCTGCTAGTGGCACGCAGGCCATCCCATCTCAGGGTACTGTTTTATAGAGGACTCCGAGGGCAAGTGGGGGAGGGCACAGCACACACAATGGAGCCCAGGAGGCACCAGCGGGGCTTCCCCAACTACTTGCGCCCACGCCCGGGACTCCCCACTGGCCAGCTGGCCTGCCTCGCCTGGCCTCATTCCTCTTCCTGCTGGCTTGAGCAGAGCCACGAACGGGCTTAGTGCCCGCCGCCAGGCCTACCGGTTCCAGCCCTGCCCTAGAGAAGGAGCTGGGAGGTCTCCAGGGCGAGAGGCTCTAGTCAGTCTGTCTTGGAACTGCTCCTCAGACATTTGTGGGAATTGCCTCTGGCCCCATCTTCTCACTCTCTTCCCTGTGCTCACGGTTCAGAGCTCCCCTCGCTCAGTCAGGAGCATAAGAGGAATTTGATTGTCAGCTGTAACTCGTTCACTCATTAAGGGTCCCCTGGGCCCAAAGGCTAAGCACCAAATGGGAGCCAGGGAGTTCATTCTTCTGTCCCCAAAGCCCAGAACACTAAGCTGTTACATTATACTTACCCAAAGAAATGACTTCCTGGGCTGGGCAGATGATAGTTTGTCTAGCACTCAGAAAGCTCTGACCCCCAGCACAGAGTAAACCACAGAGGGAGACTCAGAACGATATTCCAGTGCTCAGGAAGAGAAAACAGGAGAATGGGGAGCTCATCAAGTCCAGCCTTAGCTACATAGCAAGTGAACGCCAGCCAGGCCAAGGGACATCCTGTCAAAAACAAACAAAAAAACAGATAACTCTTCCTGGGAGGATAAAAGAGGGTTCTGGTATCCCAAGATCCCTAGGGTCCTTCTGGGAAACCATCTAGAAGGAATACAAGTTTAGACAGTTCTTTGCCATCTGAGATCAAGAGACGTGCCACCCATGGAGGTTTGAGACTTCCAGGGATGGGGGACCCTGGCAGAGATGTGGGTCTCCAAACCTTATTTTAAATGTACAGTGGGGATTGAGCTAGGGAGAGGAAACCACAATGACTCGACCTTCTGTAGAAAGAGGAAGGCTGCTGGTTCCCTCTACCCTGAAAGAAAAAGGGCCCAGTTTGAAAATTAGTATTTAGGTCCCCAGTCCTGTTAACTGTCCTCACCCCATGACAGTGGATTCTTCCCACAAAGCTGACTTTGGCCAAATTGGATTCCTTCTGGAAAGACAGCCTCCTTTCTCCTCACATCAGGGTTGTGAGCGTGTTGTTTCCTGGGTCATTTCCTATTAACATTCCTCTGCCTGTCTTAGCATCAATAGCGTGATGCCCAGGTATAATCTGTGGCCTTTCCATCAGCTAAGGGACCCTATTCTTTAGTTTACCTTGAAAGCTAAACTCTTGAGCTGAAGGAAAGGGTGTGCTGGGTAAGCTTCAGGCGACCTTTGCCCACCTGGAATTGGATTTCACCCTATTTGGCGCCTCCTCCAGATCTGTAGCAGCCAACCCAGCCTCTCCCTCAACATCAACAATGGACCTACCCTGTGCCAGGGACCATAGCGGGAAAGCCAGTCACTGGGGAGCTCTAGGTCCACCCACTAAACCTTTCTTCCCACATGCTGCTTTCAGCCTTGGGAAAAGGAGATGAAGAGGAGTGGGTGATTGGGGGATGGGGCCTGCCCAGTGTTAGACTCTGTCCTAGGTGCTAGATGTGTATCCTGCATATGATCTTCAGGCACCCAAGAAGTGAGGGCCACTACTAATGCCAACTTTAGTGACTAGCAAGGGGAACTATGATATAGTGAGACAGAGAGCAGCTAAGAAGTCCATGTCCTGGCAAGGGCACAAGAGCAGTGCGGAGTAGGCTTCTCTCCAGAGACTGGCCCAAAGGACTCAGAGAAGACAGACTTGGGTAGAGGTCAGGTACTTCAGGCCCAGGTTGGTTAGGACCACTCATTATGGAACTGGGTACAACAGTGGGAAAGCCTGGGAAGGGTCCAGATGAGCTATTCCTAACCAACCTTATGAGGGCCTACTGAGGCCTCAAAGGAAACTGGCTGTATCACACACTGACTCTATGACCCTGACTGTATCATCATGACTACACTCCTCCCAGCCTAAGTTCTCACCTATGAAAGAGGCTGCATAAGGAAAGAGAAACACATGCACACACACATACACACACAAACACACACACACACACGAGAGAGAGAGAGAGAGAGAGAGAGAGAGAGAGAGAGAGAGAGAGAGAGA